CCCGGCGCCCAGTGTGCGCCCCCTGAGCTGCAGCGGCCGCTTTAACTGATTTCCGGGGAGTTGACGGTGTTTTGTTTGTTTGTTTGTTGTGTTTTTCTTTGCGTCATCGTCAACGAAGCGCGGAAGTTTCTTTCTTTTTATTGTTTCGGTTGAACTTCGGGAGTGTCGTCACGATGGAAGGCCAAAATAAAAAGAAATTCGTTGGCAAGCGTGGAAAAGCGCCTCGTGGGAAAGCACCGCCTGGGAAGAGGAAATTTAAGAAAGATAATGGTAAGAAGACAAAATTTCTTTCGTGGAAGTGATTTGTTTAAGGGGCTAGTGTAATACAGAAAAAGCTAGAATTTGTATTTCCTGTCTTGTGCGTAAAACTGTGCTGACCAAGAGAAACCAGCCAGAAAATAAGTAGAAAAACTAATTGACTTGGAAATAGATCCGTCAGCCCCCTTTGGTTGAAGTAAAGTACTGATTTGCAGCAAAATTGGAAATCATCGTCTTGTTTTTAGTTCTTGCATTTCCAGGTTAACAAAGAAGGTTTGTTTGAGAGTTGAAGTGGAATGGGAGAAGTGCTGTGGGTTAGCACTGATAAAATGTCTTTCAGCACTTGCTCTGTTCTACCTCGAACTTGAGATTTCAAAACAGCGATGACTGTACAAATAAATACAAAAACAAGACCAAGAGTAACATGATTTAGGACTACTAATATATGCCATTATACTTCTATCTAGAAGAATTGCTTGGAATATATATTGTGTAGAGGCCTATGTCATAGTTGGGGTAATAATAGTGTATTGTTTTAAGGACACATTGGCTCTAGGATAACATATTGTGTTTTTCAATGACTAGATTCTGGTCCCCCAAAGAAGTTTCATAGCAAGGGAGATGAGGAGGGAAAGCCCAAATCCATTTCCAAGAAATTTGTGAAAGGAAACTTAAGACCTGGAAAAGCTAGTGTCAAAAAATTCAAGAATAAGCAACAACCGGAAAAACCTGCGAAGAAGAGAAAACTCCAGGATGGTGAAGAGAAAGGTAAGTGGATTTTTAATTCTGGATACTTACGGACACCATATTCTGGGAAACCTACTGTTCATCTAGGACTTCTTCTCTCCTCTTTCCTTTACTTTTTAGGTATTCAGCTTTACTTAATATAACCTCATGGACATGGTAACTTTGTGTTTTTTGATCTCTGCACTGAAACCAAGTTCACTGAGGTGGCTTGAATAGAAACAGCATAAAATGAAAAACAGGTTATTGTGCGGGGAGTTTTGAGGTTTTGTACATGTGATTTGCTTGGGAAAATAAGGAAAGAGGTTGGTTATTTTAATGCATCTGTTTTTTAAGAAGGACTTTGCTTGAGATGCCCTAGTTGTCTGGAAATTTATATCAAGCTGCCTTTTAAAAAAAGGTAGGGGAGGGCTTAGTTGTGTATAAGTGAAAGCTGCCATGTATTGTACATCTTTATTTGTTCCTACCTTGTAGGACTAGTCACTTGAGATATTTTGTATAAAATCATCTTGAGCTTGCGAAGCTGTGTGAAGTCTCCTACATAAAATACCTAATTTAGTGAAAAAGAAGGGCGTGCACAGCCTAAGATACAAGGCTTTACATAAGAAAGAAGTATGAGGTGATAGTTAGTGGCATGTTTGTATTATGAGATTGTACCTGTGAAAGAACTAAAGCGATAAACTTGGCAAAGTTAATCATTGATGAGAAAGGCATTGAATAAAACAGTAAATTGTGTGTATGGTCCATTATTGCAGGGCACTAGATTGCAAAATGTAGTCTTTTTATTCCATTGAGTATTTCATGGCTCTTTCTGTTATGTTTTTTAAAAGTGTGAACGGTGATAGCGAGATCAGAGACAAAGAATATTTGTGTCCTCTCTGTTTAAACTGTTAGCATTACTTTTTAATCCTTGTCTTGGCCTCCTTATAGGTGGCCTAAAAAGGAGACACTACAGTAGGTCTTTGTTTGTAAACTTTTTTATTTGAGTTTTCAACTTTGTGTCTCTAAATCAGGATGCTTTTGAGTGAGGAAAATGACATGGGTGAGCAAAACAAAGGAAAATGGGAATATGACTTCAGACTGCACAGTCACTGAGTAGCAGATGCATCCTGGGTTGATGTTTAAGGTAGATGAGATGCATCCTTTGATAGAGCGTTGAGGAAACACTGCCTGTTTGCCTTCTGCATCCAGTTTTCTGGAAGTGAAACTTGCCAGCTTAGCATATCTGCTAGGGTTTGCACACTCATATTAGCTAGATGAAAAGTTGTAGGCAAAGAGCCTGAGCAGTCACAGAGTGACTGCGGTTTACAACAATGGAGGATTTTCTTGTACCTTCTTCTATTGTAAAGAATAGGTTTATTTTTATTTTCAGGACCAGATTCTAAGAAACCTAAATGGAGTGAATTCAAAAAGAAAAGGAAGGAATTAAAGCAAAGCAGACAACTCAATGACAAAAGCAACTATGACATAATTGTGAAATCAAAGCAAATATGGGAAAATGTGAGAAGGTGAGAATGGTTCATTCGTTCATTTAGCTTCTAGTCATAAGTTTTGTGGTAGTAGAGGGAGACTTTTTTGCCACTTGTACAATCTCCTCATGTATTTCCGTGATGGAACAACGTGATTAGATGTGTTTCTGCAGATGACTGAAATAGCATTCTGGGTCATCACACTCTACGAATCACTTTTTCTAAAAATGTGTTGATACCACTTTTATGCAGGCATGTTTAATTGCAAGCTGATAAAAAAAAAGGAAGAGAGTTCTCTTGAATCTTGTTTTCTCTTTGAATTGTGAATCATAGAGCAAAAATACAATTTGTTGACAGTCTGGTTACTGCAGAGTTGTTTTTGTTTGTTTTTGTGACATTCAGTCTGGACAGTTGTAACTCTAGGACTGGGACCTCAAGTCAAAAAAAAGGAATTATTTTGTGTGTGTCTGCTACCTGGTTTTGGCTGTGTAATGCTTACAGGTCTTCAGTGTCTTGGTGACATTAGCAGCTTCGTGGATCTGAAATATCTTTTTTTTCTAGTCATTGTTACTTTAGAAGATAATTTTAGGTTGAAAAACTGATTTAGTTTATAGAAACTGAAACCTACTTAGTTATACATAGCCATAGCTTTAATAAACTGTTGTAAGCTAACTCCATTTTGGTTTTTATGTTCTTACTTCTTAATTTGTAGACGTAACTGAATTATACTATCAAAAAGCTAATTCCTCAGTTAAGATTCTTCTGTTTATTTCCTTTCAGGAAGAAATGTGATAAGGCACAGCGAGAAAAGCTAATGAATGAACTACAAAAGCTACTTCATGGGAAAATTAAAAGTGTAAGGAAAAGATATATGCCACTGCAACAAATGACTTACATGAGTTCACAAAAGCTCCTTCTGAGAATGTTGAAGTGTCCTGACAATTGCTATGCTAAGTAGTCTTAGACATTTCAAGAGATAAGTAGAAAGACTACTTAGCATAGCATAGTTTACAGTAACATTTATATCATTGGGCACTTTAGTGATTCGTGCTTTCCCATGCCCAAGTGGAACATACTTCTACTCTGAAATTCCAGAGCAAATGAACCATTTCACGTTTATCTCTTTGTCGGTAGTAAATATCTGAGGCATTTTACAGTTGCCTTCATTGCCAACAACTGCATGTATTGTATTTTGTGATTAGAGTACTTTTATGGCAGTAAAAATGCTTAAAAATGGATTTGTTGTAAGCAATTAACTTGTTATAATTGCTATTACATCCTATATGTGGCATAGAACTGTACTGAAGATCAAATACGTTATGCTCCAAATTTGTGTTAATGTCATACGAAAGCCTGAGGATGAATAAAATATTTATGTCCTGCAGTTGGCATTTGCCCATGATTCAACCAGAGTGATCCAGTGCTTTATCCAGTATGGTAACAACGAGCAAAGGCAGGAGACATTTGAAGAACTAAAAGGTACTTTTTCTTATTTGCACCATATTTGCAACCTTCTTTACTGTGTTGGTGTGCATTAAGAGAAGTGATAATTCCACTTTTTTATTTCGAGCATTTTCAGTTTTCCATTTAAATTACGTTTTATTCCTAGCTGACTGTCAAAGCATTATTTATGTAATGCCATTTCATTTTTGTAGAGATGTTATTAAGAAAAACAAAAACTAACTGAACACTTTTTTCCTCTCCTCTAGATAGCCTTGTAGAGTTGAGTAAGTCAAAATATTCCAGGAATATAGTGAAGAAATTTCTTATGTATGGGTAAGTATGAAAAAGTGAGTTGACTTAAGTCTCTCTTGCATTGTCATATTGTTGGTATAAACGTTCCTCTTAATCTGTAATGCATTGATTATTAATAAAAAATATGTCTCTTTAGTAGTAACGAAGCAGGAGACTAGCTGATGCTGCTAACAGCACTTTTTTGTTGCAAAAAGTAATCCTAAAGCTGAGACACAGTATTGAGCGTGCTTTTGTGCATCTTCAGCACTTTAGCCAAAGTTGGCCTCTGCCTGAAAAGCAGAAATTGGTTTGTAAAGGCTTTTCTGCTCACTGTTGAAGGTGGAGGGTTTCTAAAAGCATCCTTTCTTGTGCAGAATTTCCCCACTTTCTAAATTTGGTTTCTATACTTTGTAGTGCAGAAGCAGAGTTTTGTTCTTATCTATTCTACCTTCTAGCTACTTGATATTTCTCCTTTCTTCTATCTTCCTTCAATTATATTTGCTGTGTTTATGGAACACCTACACAGACTCACTACATTAATCTTTCTTCTTTGCTTCTCTAGCCATCTCTGTAACATGGCAGCATTTTACTCAAATGAGCTAATCTTAAGACACTTGTGTGTACAGAGGGATCTAACTATGATACCTTTTGCAAGTCTGTACAGTGCATGTGTTTTGCAGTGGATTACCCTGCAGTTGCTGACCTTGAAGTAATGTGGATGGTAATCTTTGCACTGGAACTAGGGATTAAGCTAATATCCAGTATTGTCCTTACTGTCATAAAATTAGATACAGGCTTTATTGTGATTTTTCTGGGGGTTTCTTTTCTTTTTCTGAGAATGACCACTTTATAATCCCTCATGTTTTCTCAAGAATGCTGCCCTTTTCACAATCTTTTCATAAATGCTATGAGGGTAATCTAGGTGCATGTATTTTCTATGTTGTTATGCTACTATTTGATCACCTAAATATGCTTCCTAAGGTCAGTTCCTTCATGATGTTTTAACTCCTGCTATTTTTTTTCCTATGAAAAAGGACAAAACAACAAGTTGCAGAAATAATGAAAAGTTTTAAAGGCCACGTGAGAAAAATGCTCCGTCATGCTGAAGCATCTGCTGTAGTGGAGTATGCGTATAACGACAAAGCTGTTTTGGAGCAGAGGAATATGCTGACAGAAGAACTCTATGGAAACACATTCCAGGTTTATAAGGTGAGATTTTAGCACTTTTTAGTGTAAGATATTTTCATATTCTAGAGTATAATGTAGAGTGTATCTTGTCTGTCTTACCTATTGTATCTTCTGATAAAATTCCTTTTCATGTAGTTGCCTTTATCTGCCTAGTCTGAAGTAGTTGCCCTTGCTGAGGTAAGGGTAAGGCATAAATGAAGTTAACCTCAATTAATAGAAACTGTAGAAACTAGTTTTATGCATATAGCTGCTGATGAACTTTTTTCTGTAAGATTCGATACCCACTGGAAATCACTAAACCTGTGTTTGGGCACTCATTTCAGACACCAGTTGACCCAACACTGGATAAAGTGTTAGAAGCTCAGCCTGAAAAGAGAGAGGCCATTCTGGATGAAATGAAACAGATTCTTACACCAATGGCACAGAAGTAAGTGTGTGTTTTTTTGAGCCTGTGATTTGATGCGTGTTTCTTCTAAGAAGTAAGATACTGCATTGTATAATGATTAACTAACAGTGATTCCAAAACATCCTGAATATTTTACTATTGTAAAATCAATGAAAACTTTTTCTAGAACACCAGCAGTGCATTATTCTTTTGTAATGCATATTTAGACAATCTTGCCTCGTGGTCTCTTGGAAGAAAATAATGTGCCATGCTGTACAATTTATTAGTTTCGGTAGAATTTTCCGCATATTCTAAGTCTCCGCCAGAATGACTTTTTGTTCTTCTCAATAACTTGTGTGAAACTTCTGTGCTTATTTGACTTCCAGGGGAGAAAGTGTATGTTTTTTCAGGCTTGTTTAGAGAAATAACTGCATACCATACGGTGGTATCTGTGTCATTTTTTTTTAATATGAAGTAGTGTCGACTTATGTTGAAATCATTGCTTATGTTGTTATTTTTTTCCTTTTTTCCTCTTCCCAAAATGCAAACATCTGAAAGTGCTTTTTTTGTTCGTTTTTCAATACATGTAATGACTCCAGTTAGATGATGAGGTGTTATATAGAGACTTAGAGTTACAGTGAGCTTTGACATTAAAGCAGTGTGATTGAAGCAATGAAAAGATTGTGGTGTTTGGGATGGTTTCTTTTTGTGTGTTTTCGTTAGTTTTTTAACTTCTAGTGCAGCAACTTCAGTGTTTTCCGTGTGTTTGATAAATGATCCTTCTCAGTAGCTGCTGAATAGTATGTATGTAAAGGTAAGGACATTGCTTCCAACAGTTTAATTTTCCAACATATTTCTTGATGTCTTCCACCCATTGCCCAAATGCCCTCGACCAAATGATAATCGGATTGGTCCCTTCCCTCAGCAGCCTTAAACTTTGTTTCCTGCCTTCTCCTGAAACAATCATAGCTGTTTGTCTCATCATTTAGATATTAAATTCCAGTTATAAGTTCTCTCCATTCAATCTTGCAAAAAAATAAATTTATTCAAGGAAAGTGATGTCTGGTATTCCAAGCTGGTATCCCAGGGCTTTACAAAGATGGAACTGGTGTGTGTCAGCCCCATTCTGGTCCCAGCTCTATGCACTATCTAACTCTAGACTTAAAGACAGTCAGGTAGACCCTTCTGGGCTTGCTGTCTCTTTCCTATTTCTGCTAATTGAACTTCAGCTGCTGTTTGTTACTGTTAGCAAGTGACCTCTTTAGCTGAATACAGATCTTATCTTAATTCATGGTTCTTGTGTGTGGTTTCTTATACGATTTTGTTCAAAAATGCCCCTGAATTCAGTGTTCTACCATAAGACAAGGAGAGAAAAGGCATAAGTCTCACTTCTTTATAGTTTTTTTGTATGTACGTGTTATGATTGAACAGTGATATGAGCAGAATAAATTCCTTTCGTGCTTACAGTTCTTCCTTCTCCCCCCCCAGAGAAATTTCTTACACTATATAATCTTTTCTTCCTCAGGAAATGATAGAAGCCATCAGGGAAGCTGTCATCTACCTGGCACACACTCATGATGGAGCACGAGTAGCTATGCACTGTTTATGGCATGGTACTCCTAAGGTATCGTGTTTTTTATGTCTACCCACGCCATAGCCTTTTGAGGCTATGTGAATCTGACTGCTCACAAGGCTCCTTCTCTCAGTACAGGTATCTGATGCAGTTAAGTTTTTCAGAGCAAGCTTAAAAAGTGGTTCCACTTCCCCTGTTGCCAAGTATAAGCTGTAGATTTTTGTGGGTCAGTGCTTACATGAGATCCTTCATAGTGGAAGTATCTCATTTTACTTTTAGCAGAGTTCTTGGAGCTAACACATAGACCCTTTTCATTTGTACCCTCTGTAGATTTCTTAATGCAGGTCAAATTGGCAGTAGGGAGAGGGAAGTTGTAGAAATCATAGCAAGGATCTACATTTGGCTTTGAAATGCCAAAACTTTATAGATTTTTAAGAACTATATTTTAGAGTGTCTTCTTCAAGAACTGCTGATCCTGTCTCCTGAAATATTTTAGATGCAAGGGATTACATCAGCTCCTTTGGAAGTAGTATAGCTCCTCATCTTTTCATGTAAGTGAAAAAAGAAAAGCATTCTAGAGATTGAGCAATGCCAGTAGGAGCCAAAAGTACAAAACTGAAGAAATTTTCTGCAAAATAATTCTCCTTAAATGAAGAGCGGAATTGTATTCTCTTATAAGTAATGGTAAGGATATAGGTGATTATATGGGAAGATTTTAAATCGCCATTTCTGGGGGTGTCTCAGTACTGTACTGAAATTCTGGATGCTTCTCAGAACCTCTCTGGGACTGAGGATTTCCTCGTAATTTAGGTGTAACCCTTCACCTTAGAAACAGTGTCTTCACTAGTGTTGAAGATTTTGAAATTTAGTCATTGTGTGTGATTTATGAAACAGAAGGTCATATTTTTGTTACTGTAAGTAACATACTACTTTTTGAAAAACAGCGTTACATACTGACTGAAGTTTTTCCTTTCGTTTTGAATAGGACAGAAAAGTCATCGTGAAAACCATGAAGACATATATTGAAAAAATAGCAACAGTGAGTGCTCAGTAGCCTTTTATTTTATTCTCTGAAACTGCACTAATCTGATGGAATACTTTCAAGTTAGTCTCTTAAGTGATGCTATAAACAACTATGACATCTAAATAAAGCTAGGTTTAAATTAGTGATAGTATAATGAGTCACTTGAAATAACTTTTTTGAATGCTTACAGGCTTCATTGTAAGGGCTACATGCGGTAATGCTGTGCAATAAAATAGCGGAAATATTTGGAAGAAATTGCTTTAATTCTTGCTTTATATTTATGCCTGCTTTCTAACTTCTTGTGGCTGTAGTAATTAGTGATATTGCCTAAGTGTTTTCTTCAATTCCAACTTCTTTTCTTCAACTAATGAGTAGGAAAGTTACTTGCTGTTTGAGGCAGAAAGAGGTTATCATGATAGCTTAAGAGTAGATGTTCATTTTGTGTTTTCATCTTACTCATTGATTAACTTGTTGTTAACGTTTTTTTTGAACTTCAGTATTGTGTAGCTGTATTTATTAACGTTTAGTATCAGTGAAATAACGTTTGCCTTCATAAGTTTGCCAGAATGCATTACTTTATTTTTTTTTCAAAGAGTAATTATTTTATACTTTTAAACAATAAAAATGTAGGATATATGCACTGTTTTCATATAGGCAGTGGCTGAATAGCTAAAACCATACTAGAACTAGTTATGGCCTGACCTAACTTTTGTGTAAAGAGTCTCACTGACTTAAAGGTGAATTTGGTTTTAAAATCTTAGGTTTTAATATGCTATAGACATGCTCTCTGAAAATATAGCAAGTGATTTATCTCAATTGGAGACAAGTCCACCATAGAAATAAAAACCTATACATATTTTTCCTGTAAAACCAGTCTGTGATTCAAAGTGGTGATTACACAATGGGACTATATTAGAGGATTGCATATGACAAAGCAATTCAAAAATTTAAAATAGCAAAGAAAATTAATCTACCTTTGTTTTAAAAACATGTTTCTCGTGAACTGAGAAGAGAGGGAGTGGAATGAGAGAGAGTTCACAATGTAGACAAAATTTGGTCAAGGCTTGTATGATGTTTAAGACAAATTGTTACTATTGCTAAATTAATTAGTGTATGCATAAAGCTTGCCTGCACGTTTTTGAACTCTTCTGCTGTCTTGCTTTTGCAGGGTGAATTTTCTCATTTGGTCTTGCTGGCAGCATTTGATTGCATCGACGATACTAAACTTGTGAAACAGTTAATTATATCTGTAAGTATTTTTTCCTTAAAACATTATGTTAAATACTGCCGGTGTGTTTGACAGTGTATAGAAGGATAAAAATTGGAATCCATTTTTTTCCAAAAAAAACTCCATCCTTTCACCTTTTCTGTTTCATTAGAGAGAGTTCTGCTGTCTTACACGTGATATTAGCACTTTTGGCTGTTCTCTAATTTTTGAACTAGATTCAGCGCTTACTGAAAATTGTCCTTTCTGTGCATGTCTGTCTATAGTCTCACTAGCAAGTGACTGGAATCTCCATAAAGTAGAATGTCTTTCTTCTAAAAATTTAAGCTCTGCTAGTTTTTCAAGGAGACTGAAACTATGGAAAATTTCTGAACTATGATGTAATCTCACCCACTTGTCATCTTAACCTTAGCCATAGTTAATCACCCTTGTTGTGCAAGGAACATCCCATTTAGCTGTTTTGGAGGAGTAACAGGAAGTCATGAAAATGATACCTTAAGATAAATTGTGGTAAACTTTGAGGGACAGAGTATCTTCCCTGAGTCTAACATGACTTAATAAAGCATATCTGAACAGCCTGATCAGAAACTAGATTAAATACTCAGGAGATTTTTGGCTGAGTGCTGAAGCCACTTAACTCTAATTATCAAAGCTTACACTTCTTAGTTAATGTATTGATAAGTAAATGGCAGCTGGCACAAATAAAATTCCCCCAGTATTTTTAATCTGACTTTCAAATTGGATACAGATAAATGTCTGAAACATGAAAATACTGAAGCCATTTTGCTGGGCCTAGATGGAATTTTCCTGGATGAATGGAAGAAGATAGATAGTATAAGCTAATCTGTATCTGTTCCCTTTTGGAATGCTCCATTTCCCTTCATCCAAACGTGATTTAACAGGGTTTCATAAAGTGTTTACACTTAGATCTTGTTTTAATGCAAATTTTATTTTTAAGCTGCTTTAATCTGTAGATTACTCTAATGCTCTTTTTATGCTGATGCAAGAGACTTCGTATGGCACGATCTCTTTTCATGCAAGCAGCATAATTATTGTATGGACATACAGGTTGTAAAGTGCTTATAACTTGTGTCAGTGATGAGAGGTAGTAACAGAGGTAAAAACAAGGCAGTAGTCTGCAAGTGAAGAAAAAAACATGAAGAGAAAGGGGTCACTGTGTGGTTTATTCTCAAAAATACAAGCAATTGCTCTTAGAGCAACTCCTTATAGAGGGATTTGGGTTTGCCTCCCCTACCCTGGAATTTTAGTCAGGTCTTTTCTCTCTCTGATTTGGAGAGCAGAAAACCTCTCCCCATGGAGTTAGTTTGTGTTTATTAAACATATTAGCAGTGATCACAGCTTTTTTTATTTGTTTCCAGAATCTGCTGAGCAATGTAACAACTTTGGGCAAGGTCCAAGCAAGTAAGCCCTGACAGGTCTGGGCTGTTTTCATACAAGATGCATTTCTGTACTCTTACAGCCCCTTACAGTTTGGAGTTGAGATACAGTGCTTGATTTTTATTTGGGACTTCCAGCATGCTGTATAATATCTGAATCGTTGGTATTTTTCCACCATCTGAGAACTCATGATGTTCCAGGATAACAGAGTGTTTACGATTTGGCCATGTTACTGTGTTAGTCTAGACAGATAAGAAAATGAGAATAAGAAGGAGTAGCCTTCACACAAATAGATTAGGCCATCTGGCTTTACATGAGCCCAAGGAAAGGATGTCAGGGAAAATGAAAATTATCACATGAGATCAAATGCCAACGCTTCAAGTGGAGAATGAAAACCAATCGCTGACGATGAGATGGAGGCATCTCCTTGATCCCTGGGGAGCTGATGGAACCAAATAATCCTGGAGGCCATTTCCAGAAGCATGAAGAACGAAAAAGTAGTTTGGAGTAGTCTGCCCAGATTTACCAAGGGAAAGTGGGGTGGCTTGTTTGATGGATGAGGGGAGAGCAGCAGGTGCTGTATTTACTTTGGCAAAGTGTTTGTTACTGTCTCCTGTAACACCCAGTTGCCTGAACCACAGGCATAGGTGGGCAGTGAGTTGGACTGAGAACAGGCTGTGCTGCCATGCTCAGAGGGTTGTGATCACAACAGCACAATCACTAACTGAAGGTTATATGTCCCTTGTGATATATCCTAAAGGTAACACTAGCTACAACACTGTTTAGCATCCTCATGACCTGAATGATGGAGCAGTGTTTGCCTTTAGCAAGTTTGCAGATGATTTCAGAGCCCGGAGGAAAGTTGACCTGCCACCTGGTTATGCAGAAGAAATGAGCCAGCAGTAACCTCATGAAGCTCAACAGAGGGAAAAATAACCAGTTTTGCACCTGAGCAAGAATAGGCACATGCACCAGTACGTGTTGGACCAGCTGGAAAGCAGCTCTGCATAGAAGGTTTTGGGTCTTGGTGACCCAAATGCTTCTAGGTGAAGCATTACCAGCAGGTAGTGGAAGGTGATCCTTCCCCTGCACTCAGCCCTGAGGAGGCCACATCTCAGTACAGGAGAGGCATGGACATGTTGGAGCAGGTTCAGTACTGGGCCACGAAATGATGTAGAGACTGGAGCATCTGTTGTGGGAAAGAGGCTGAGAGAGTTCATAGAATCATAGAATCCTTAAGGCTGGAGGGACATCTGGGACAGATCAGGACAGATTCTGTCCTGAAGCAGTTCCGTCTGGAGACGGAAAGACTAAGGGAGGATCTTATCAGTGCTTACAAATACCTGATTAGTGAGCATAAAGAAGCTGGAGCAAGAGCTTTTGCAATGCCGCCTAGTGACAGGACAAAAAGGAGTAAGCAGAAATTGAAACATAAGAAAATTTATCTCAACATAGCAAAGAACTTTAATGTGAGAGTGGTCAAAAACTGGAGCATGTCACCCAGAGTCTATATCCATGGGAATATTTAAAACCTGACCAGACACTGCCTTAGTTCCAATGGACTCTGACTGGAAGGAGCAAAGGAACAGTCAGTGCTAGATGATCCAGAAGTGCCTGAACGATTCTGTGCTTCTCTGAGAGCAGGTTTTGAAACATGCTGTATAGAAGAATCAAAAATTTAACCGTCTAAAAAGAATAGCTCAAATTTTTAAAAATCTTGTGCTGCTTTTCAGTCTGCTCATACTAAATTTCAAACAACAAAAAAATAGTAAAACATATCTTTTTAGGCAGAAAAGTTTGCAGTATTTGGGCAAGACCTAAATTTTGTTTACTATTTTAAAACTAATAGTTTATTTGACTTGGCAGAACGGTCAGGAATTTGCAGGTCTTGTGATTGTGAGGTCTTAAAAGGCTCAGAGGAAAGCCTTCTCAACTCTCAGCTGTACAGAGACTTAAACCTGGACCAAAGAATACATGTTTTGCTTTAAACCTACATATATGGTTGCAATTGCACATTGGTTGCTTAGGCACCTTCTGGAATTTGGGAAAAGTTGAGGGAAAAACCTCTCTCATGTTAATTCTAGAGTTCACACAATGCTAGAAGGATGCTACCAATTGAGAGAAAGAACATAGTATAAATTATTAAGCTTCCATTGATATTCTCTCACAGTTGGGACACTGAGCATGACTGAATTTTGTTCAGAATTAGGAATTTGGAAAGGGATAAGAGGAGGAATTTTGGAGGATTTAAATAAAAATGGACCTCTGTTATATAAAACATCTGCTTCATAGGTTGATTTCGAAGTGCAGAAAATTTGTCTTTAATTGTGCTGAATTGAATGCTTCTTTTCATTACTGGCAGTTCAGCAATATTTCAGCACTGTGTCAGGCATTTAACGGGTGAATAAACTTCACATAATCTGAATGTATATCCCAAAAATAAGAGTTAACATGTCTTTCTCATTAGAAAGTTTATATATATATATGTGTCTGGAATGTGAAGTTTTATCTTTTTATTTCATAGGTACACTAGGTTGTGTTACGTGTTAAGCCAAAGTTCATCTCCATTCACTGAAACGCATTTTCACCTAGTTTTAAGCAACCCTTTTGAAATAAGGAAGGCATCTAGCCATTTTCTGTCAACTTCCAATCTTTACATTTCTCTTTTCCTCAAAACCAACAACCTAAACCGCAAGTTGGTGAAAGTGATGTGCTTTAAATTGTTCCCTTTATTAGCTGTTGTTCGTGGTTATAAGGAGGTTTTTCAGGGGCGGTGGCTTGTAGAGCGTGCCCAGAGTGCAGTCCTACTTTGTTTTAAATTCAAAATTTGTATGTATATTAAAAGCTATCAGAAATGGATTGTCGTAAGGGTCAATAGCGTCTGGATGGCGTTGAGAGTTTTCCAGTGCTGCTTGGTAGCTAAGTGTGTTTTGCTGTACAACATGAAACCTGTATGTGGAATTCTGGGAGATGAGAGGTCAAGCAGATGGATTAATACACGTGCTTGCCTCTGAATATGGAGGAGTGCTTTTCTAAACAAGGTGACTCTTTTATACCTTAATGAGTTTTCTGCCACAGCTGTGTTCATGCACCAAGGTGCGAGGAACCCACTCTGAAGCTTACCAGTGGCTATTGCTACCATTCCCTGGGAAATGCCAGTATTTCTGCCCATGTGCCAGTAAACTGCAAGTATTGCTGGTTGTACTCGCAACAGAGGCCAAGTTTACTCTGTTACTGAAACTCTGCAATTACTCTTGGATTTTGTGATGGATTTAAGATAGACACCTTGCTGTTATGTGGGCTGTTCTCCCTGCCTGTGTATTTATGTATGATTGTTTGAGAGTCTTTACTCTTCATTGCTGTAATAGATGATCCTTTGTTTGTCTTTATTTCATTTATGTCTTTTACTGAGTTTGGTTGAACAGCAGGATATAGCAGGATATGTTTTGTTGTTCTTAGTACCCGCATGTATAGTGAAAACAAATGCTATACTTTTACAGTGGCTTCTAAGCAATCATATTGATGCATTTCATAAACACATTTTAACTATATTTCTTTTTTATTTATTTCATTTCTGCCAGCTTTCATTCTGTTTAGAGTTTTGGAATTCTTTCCAAAAGCAGGCAGTCTTATTCTTAGTATAGAGCTCTGCTTCCTTATCTTTGAATTTACATATTTTCATTATCAATGGTGCAGAACTATTCATTAATGCTTTGCTGTTTGTTTGCTTTCACAGGAAATAAATGCTTCCTTGCCTAGTATAGTAAACAACAAACATGGAAAGAAGGTCTTGTTGTACTTGCTAAGTCCTAGAGACCCTGCACATTTTGTGCCAGAAATCATCACACTTCTTCAGCAAGGAGATGGAAATGCCCATAGGTAACTGAAGTACAAAGGTTACATTGTTAGAGTTTAAATAAAAAGGCAAAACAAATATAAGTTTTCAGATAGAAGTGATAAATGGTGTTTTTGTATTAAACAGTATGTGATTTCAGCAAATACGATCTGTGCATGTCATGCTTTTTTAATTTATTTAATGTGTGATAATATTTCTAGGTTGTAAAGTGACAAACCATGTTGCTTTCCTAGTTAAGACTAGTATAACCAATTGGTTAAAGCCAGTCTTATCATGGGAGGAAATTTTTAACATATATTATTGCATAAGGTTCTGAGTTGCATAAAAGTATATTTGAAATTAGCAATAAAAGTGAAAAATTGCTTTTTTAATTCGGTCTCCGATACTGACAGTGACGCTTACCAGCTTACCAGCTTTTGGTTTAGGGAAGTGAGTAACACTTTTAGCAATACCTCCCGGTACTTAATACAATAGAATAAATAGAAAATCAACAGGCTACACTGCCACTGTTAATAAAAAGCTAAATATGTCAGGTTTATTGGCAGTCAGCTTTAAACAAAGGACATAGAACCATTGAGACATTTTAATTTCCTATTCCACTTGTTCTTAAAACTTGTTGTTTGAGCAACATATACCTGCTGGTATGCAGAATAGAGAGGAGGATGATTGATGCGTCTTACTGACCTTGACAGTTGCATAGAGCCCTCTGAACCTTCTTGAGGGGCACACAAAGCAAGTCCTCTGCAGTAACATGTGTCTTTTTTCATCAGCAAGAAGAATACAGAGCTCCGTCGCCGTGAACTCCTGGAAGCCATTTCCTCACCTTTGCTAGAGTATTTGCAAGAACACACTCAAGAAGTGGTGATGGACAAAAGTACGTTTGTCCTAGTTGCTGACATCTTGGGAACAGCTCTTGGAGACATCCAGCCTGCACTAGATGCAATTGCCAGTTTGGCAGCAGAAGAGCTGGTTCCAGGTGGCTGTGATGGGCAGGTAATGTAACAGGACAAGATGTTGAGGTCTTGCTATGAATTTGCATATATTGGGGAAATGAGGTTTGCACATTTTTTCCTTTAGGAGGTTAATGTGCTTTCTTGACTGTAGCTGTACATAAAAGCAGCCTTTTTGTTTTCTGACCTCTTCCTTTCATAGTTTATTAGCTTTGCATATGAAGTAATGGAAACTTGAAGTCAACATTTCATATGATTTGGAAACCTGTGTACATGAATCTTCCAGAACACACTGAAGTGTTTTGTGGAAAAACAGCTGGCAGTCATACTGCAATTTCTGTTTTAATATTAGCACTAAGAAATCAAACAAGAATTTTTGTAATACCCCTTAAATGTGTATACTGAGAATGACAGGTTCCTGTAGGTAGGATAGGTTCCTATAACTAGATTCATAGGTATTAGCTGTGTGTTTTTTATCTTCTTCAAAATGTGCTTGGAAAACTCTACCCTATTTTGTTGAGTTAAACTTCAGTCAAGTTTGTCATTGTGGATTAGAAAATGAAAGATGTTGCATAGACTAAATCTAATGTCCTCCAAATTCTGATAAGTTTGCTGAATTGGCTTCATCTTCCTCAGTTCTTCAGTGCCTCTCCTTCTGCAGTGCTTATGGAATTCAACAATATAGAAAATTCAGATGAAACCAACTTAGTTTGTAGATAGAAAAAAATTACAGATGGAGGAAGAATGCTGAAAATACCTTGTAGTCTTAAAAAAAGAGAACTGGAGGCAACTGCATGAAAGGCTTGCTGCTGCCAAGGCTTTCCAGAGACATGCTGCTTCTAGCCATTATTTCTAAAAGTTATCCCTTTTTTTTTTTTTTAACAGTAAACGCTTAGTGCAATTTTACACAACCATTCATTTTCTTTGAAGTTCTGTGAGTTATACTGCAGTGAATGCTGGAAATTGTGCATATGTGGGAAGTTTGCATGCAGGCAGCTAGACCTGGAGAATCTACTCAGTGTAATGCGTGGTGGATAAAACATTAGAGAATATGGAGTGGCAGCCAGAGCTTATATTACTCCATGTCATATACTAGCAAGAAGGATGATTAAAAAAAAAGAAAACAGACAACTGGTTATTTTGGATATTTATACTGCATTCTGACTTGCTGCTATTTGGTCATAGATAATGACTAGCTGAATTAGTGTGAAATGGGGACTGATGGCAGAGAAAAAGGTGGATAAAACAAGCAGTACTATTTATGGTCAGAGAATAAAATGCAGGTTGAAACTCCTTCATTTAATAACTTTGTTTTTGCCTTAAAGCTTCACATTGCTGAGCATCCAGCAGGCCATCTAGTTTTGAAGTGGTTAATTGAGCAAGATGAAAAAATGAAAGAGAGTGGAAAAGAAGGTATGTTCAAAATTCAGTTTTATTTGATCAAATTATGACTTCAGAATAGTTAACTACCTAATCTAAATTAAGATTGATAGTTTAAGAACACATTAATACATGGGAGATCTTAGAGATGCTGTAAGATGTATGCATTTATCTTTTGACTGTTGTGAGTTACATGAACAATTGCTGAAGGGAAGATTGCTTTTTCTACATGGTGGATATTGGTATGTTTTTCTCAATTAGGACAATGTTGTTTCTGTACTTAAAATGTCCTGCTAGCCTCACAAAACTATGCATCAATTTATAGGAATAGCAAAGGTAAAGGCTTTATAATAGGAAGATTTGTTACATTATTCTTATAGGCAGAATTTTAATTACTGGACTGTGTTCATTAGTGTTGCTGGGTTACTGCTTTATAACCTGGAAAAACTCACAAAAATAGAACATCTTCGTTATTCTGTATACCAGAAGGCAGAAATTGGGCACAGATGTTCTCCTTTTTTTTCTTTTTTTTAAACTTGTCTTTGTTACGTAACTATAAAATCTTGTGTGAAGACTCTTAAATCTCTAGGATTTTTTTTTCACATTATTCTAATGGAGATTATTTTTTGATACTTTTTTTTTGAAAAAAGGAAGAAGGGAGGATAAGCATAGTATAGTTAGGGGGGAAGTTCAGGGTGGGAGAGGAAATTCTTTATGAAATTATGATGTTAAACACTTTTTTTTCATTGATATATTCAGGTATCTACTCCTTTAAATAAATCTACATTAACTCTCAAATACTTTTGAAAGAATACTTTTGCTACTTCTCTTTAAAAATGGATAATTAAAAGTGTCAAAAGTGTGAAGTTTTATCTCGGGGTCTTTCACAGAATACCTTATATAGAGGTAGTTATCCAGATTTATTTCTGCTAACAGTACACAATTCCTATTTTAAACAAAAGCTGTGCCCTTTTAGTTTCTTCATTTTTATTGCAAGGTTGCTTACAGAATTGTCACCGTCAGTTTATAGCATGGTATTAGCAAATGAGCAAATCCGTATCAGACTAGGAACAAGTTCAGTGAAAGTCAGCCTGATCTTTGGATGGAACTGTATGCTAAAGTTACAGTGAAAACTAGTTTGGGTGTTGAAAATTGGTTGTTTGCCTCCAGGTAAGTTTGCATAGTATACCAGCTGTTAGAGACTTGACTTGAAGTCTGCCTTGGTCCCTTCTTTTGAATGCATCATTAGTCAATAGTTACCAATATGTATAGGTACCTGAGGGGATAATGTAAACAGGATGGGCCCAAACTCTTCTCTGTGATGGCCAATGACAGGACAAGGGGTAATGGGTGCAAGTTGAAACACAGGCAGTTCCACCTCCATGTGAGGAAGAACTTCTTTCCTGTGAGGGTGACAGAGCCCTGGAACAGGCTGCCCAGAGAGGCTGTGGAGTCTCCTTCTCTGGAGATCTTCCAAACCCCCTGGATGCCACCCTGTGCCACGTGCTCTGGGTGTCCCTGCTGGAGCAGGGGGTTGGACTAGGTGATCTCTAGAGGTCCCTGCCAACCTCAACCATTCTGTGATTCTGCAAATCCAGTTAATCTTCAGAGCTACTGAGTAAATAGATTCCTGAAATATCAGTACAGCTGATCAAAATAAGGGACCTTGGCGTTTTCATGCATCAGCAGAGGTTTAGCTCTGAAGTTTTAAATAGAATTTCATCTATTTAACCATGAATTCTGTTTCTTCAGAGGTAGAGTCATAGAATGCTTAAGGTTGGAAATGACCTCTAGAGGTCACCTACTCCAACCCCTCTGCACACGCAGGGTCACCTAGAGCACGTGGCACAGGACTGCGTCCAAGCGGGTTTGAAGATCTCCAGAGAAGGAGACTCCACAGCCTCTCTGGGCAGCCTGTTCCAGGGCTCTGTCACCCTCGCTGTTAAGAAATTTTTCCTTAAGCTCCTGTGGAACTTTGGATGCTTCCGTTTGTGGCCATTTCCCCTAGTCCTGTTGGTGGCCACCAGTGAAAAAAGGCTGCCCCATCCTCCTCACCACCTCCCTCGAGATACTTATAGGCACTGATCAGGTCCCCTCTCAGCCTTCTCTTCTCCAGGCTGAACAGCGCAGCCTTTCCTCTCAATGCTTAAAAAATTAACACTGCTCTGCAGAGGTGTGTGTGTACCAGTTAATTGCATATAATTATCTTTTCATTTGGTGTCATTTTTACCAAGTTCTTTGTTTGCTATGAATGCTTTCTTTAAGACATGAATAGCCCTTGACACCCTTTTAGAAAGGAGCAGCAAATATGTCTGTTTTGTACTAGGAAGTTTTCACACTACTCAGTGCTGCTATTATCTTAATTAATTTTACGCAATGTTTGAAATTACTCTCACGTCTACAAAAGTATACAGCGCACTGAATGATCAGTTATTCTGAGTGAGTAAAGCTTTGTAAATATTCCGTGGCTAAAAATTGTTTAATCAAATCACTGTTGCAGAGAATTTTTAACACAGGGTTCTGTGTTTAATGTAAGTGTTTTGTTTTATTTTCTTCCTCTACCTCCTTCTGTCATCATGTAGTTTGTTTTGGAAGAACATTACTGGAACGTGTTGGTATTGAGAATATGAAGTCATGGGCCGAAGTGAACCGAGGTGCCATAGTTCTTTGTTGGTAAGCAAGACACATGACTTCACAACTGTGTTCAATTTGTTAATTTTCTGAACAGCTAAGAGAATATCAGTTGCAGTTTCTTCTAGCAAAATGTCCTTTTTGTACTTACCTGGCATTATCTTTCATGTTGCTGTAGGTCAGCTGTCCAACCTGGTACAACTGGAAAAATGCACACATGAATTTTCAGATTGTTCTTTGAGCTTAGGCTTGTGCAGCATTGGGATGTAGCTCTGTGTTTGAACATCTTAAAAGATCAGAAAACAAATCCATTTCTAAAATTGTGTCTGCCCTACCTTCTAGAAGTTGAAAATTTCTAAAAGACCACTAATAATTACATTAAAATAAGTAACTCTGAAGCATGTGTAACAGCAGTAACTTTGAAGCATGCGGGCAGCACATGCAAATCAGATTTTTTGCCCCTTAACTTGTTGTTTTGTCTTGATGCCTTAATTATGGAGCTTGGGTACGTCTCACAGTAGAGCAGAAGTGTATTTGGAGTGGACGATGAAAAGGTTTAGGATGTGCCAACTTGTTCACAATTTCAAAGCAGCAAACCATGCAACTAATGAGATCAAAAGGAGTCAGTAGGAATCTGGCTAATAATTTAACAGTCACATTTTGTTTTATCACATGCCAACAGCTGTATTAATGCCATTTTCCTCCTGTAAATGTCAGTGTCAGGTCATAGAAACTGAAGGCTGTATCTTAAAACCTGGTGCTCTGTTTCCAAAACTGCTGGGTCGGCATCGCCTTACTGGAGCCAACATGAGCAAACTGTTCAAACAGACAATATATTTCTGCAAAATAGGAACAACTTCTTCCTTCTGTCTCCTTCTCTCCTCTCTTCCACTCCTGGCCCCACCACCTCTCCTTCCATAAAATTACTTCAGGCTCCCTGCTGTTTTTTCTATTAGTCTCTACTCTGATGTTCATCCTCTTTTTCCAGAATGAATTAAGAGATTCTTAAGTACTGAAGTTTTACTAAAAATCTGAGTTTAATTCTATTTTTGAATAGTGTTTTCTGATCGTTAGTGAGATAAAACATCATAGTCATCATAGATCTGGCAGTGAAGATTTTTTGATTTACAAAATGGTAACACTTTTGCCTTTTGTAACAGGTGTCTGAAGTTCAATAAATGCATTCAGTGCCTTTAAATTATTGTCTAATCCTACACACACAGATGTTCTGAAGAGATTTGTTTTCAAAGGCTAGTACACCCATAGTATACTAATGTACTTGGGTTTTTTTTCCCCTCCCAAACTAAGGCTTGGAGATATTCATTTTATATTTCGTGTTACTAGTTTGCTATATGAACTAAATTATTTTGAGCATTCAAAATCTGTAAAGCAAGTAAACAGAATTTTATTCATGCATAACTTTTTAATAGCTGTTCCACTGTCATCGTGACTGCAGCCTCAGTATGTTTTGACAACTTCAGTGGAAAAAAATATAGTTACATATTAGAAAAATCCAGCGCCTAATCTTTTGTTTGCTCATTTTTGAATTAGAGGGCAGTTAGTATTTGGATTACCAGTGCAGGCTAATAATTGCTAAAATAGTAAAATGCACTTAGTCTAACAAGTGGTGAACAGTGGTTGTCTAATAGTTTGTCTCCTTTAACTTGAATATCAGCCAGGCATTCAACTTCTTTAAAAGTTTTGTGGTTTGCAGAAAGGTCTGTTAAGAATGTGATTCTTTGTATGAGTGTGTGTGTGCATATATATATATATATATATATATATATGTTGATATTAAGGACACTACATGGTGATGTAAGTTTGCGGGGGTGATTGGTAAGTTTGCATTACTACAAAGTAGTAATGCAAAGTAGGAGTGCTTATTTCTCAAAACATCAGTGAAAAGTTTTCACCAATACTGAAACGTACCCAAGAGGAGGAAAAGAAAAGAGGAGGAAGAGTGTCTCAGTTTTGTGCTGGAATTTAGGGGATTTATTTTAATTAAAACTAAATCTTTAGGGGTTTGAAGCTCTCTTAATGGCTCCTTGGGCATGTTTCTCATTTGTTTAGGCAGCTGGGAAGACAAAGCTCAACCAGCTGTTTTTCATGTGACCCTTGTTTAACTTAGTAGCACGTAGGAAAGAATCTCATCCTTGCTTAACTGCATGCATTTGAGGTTATACAGATTATATAGAAGTGCTAAATTTAAATTGGTTAGTATGGACAATAGCTGTATTTTTTAACATAAAATAATTGTTGATCTTTTTTTAAAGCCTTCTCATTAAAGAAATTACTCTGGTCTTTCTTTTGTCATAATGGAACTCAGATCCCTCCTGCAGCGAGAACTCGCTGGCACTGCTGGTTCTCCATGAAGCTGTGATTAGACTTTTTTTGTTTAGTTGTTGGCTCTTGGAAGCCATCTGTCACCTCTGTGCAGACCTGAGACTCTGAAATACCCACCACCGTTGTGGCTTTCTGGCTGGTGAAGCGCATGCATTAGTTGTTTGCAGATTGTGTGTGCACTTGAGTGCTAAATATTCATCCTGTGCACCTCTGGTTTTAGTGCCCTTCATCCTTTTAATTTGACTTTTATAAAAGAAACTGAGTCCTGAAACACTGAAGGTGTCCAAAGACTTAAGAGAGGGTTTGCTGCAGATTTTACAGTATGACTTTCCATAAATTAAGTTTTCTAACAACCTGAATGACACAGGCAGTTGTTCTATACTGATTTCTACATCTGATTTCTGCTCCGTGCTTTTGAATTTGTCAATGATATGTTTATATCAGCATAGAAAATGGCCAAAAACATATATCTTCAAATGATTTATTTATTCTCATAGGTCATTTTTACATCCATAGGTGCTATATTTTATGTCCACAAAATATTATGAAGATTCTTTTCGATTGGCATTGTTGTGTTCATTGTGTTCTCCCTTGGTGTCTCTTACCATATGGAAAGTTTTACTTTTTTATCTAAAAGAAGACAATAGAGCCTGCCCTGAACTAGTTTCTTCCTCATTAGCTACTGTGTTACTCTGTATAACAGCTTCTTTCCATATAACCTACATGCTGATCTTTGACATCTTTGCTTTTTTATTATTATTATTTTTTTCCTGTTTCTCTTTCATGTAGCCTTCTCCGGAGTACTGATCAAAAAGTGGCAAATGCAGTCAAAAAAGGACTGAAAAGTCTTGTCCCAAAGTTGAAGCAAAATAAAAATGCTAAAGGCATAGAAGCATTACTAGAGAAATTGACATCGTAGTGTCAGTGAAGCTAAAGAGACCAAATACATCAGCGCAGCCAACGGAGGGCTCGTAAGATTTTGCACAGTGCAATGCTGTAAGAAGCAGTGTTTGCATTTGTAAAATAAACCATTTGTAAAATGATTTGTCTGTTGCTCTCATTCTGCCGTGTGCAGCGCCAGTCTGAGTGGTTTCTGTCACAGAGTGAAACTTCAAGACAGTTTAAGAGCTTGTGAAAAATTCTGAATGTACACTCAAAAATTTAAGTGTTTCCTGGTAACTTGTACAAAAATAACTGTTGGGGTGTTTCAAAGTTACGTCGTAGTTACTGTAGAAGCCGTGATGCATGTTTTGAAGAAATTACTTTTAGCGGGGCTATTATGCCTTTTAGTTGTCTTTCCTCCTGGTTTTCTCGAAGGGGAGAGGGGAGAAAAAAAAAAAAAAGGCAGAACGACCAAAGCTATATTCACATCTGTGAAGCACTGATGGAGATCTGCTTCTTTTAAGAACTGATGGAAATAGAATGAAAAAAGTGCCTGACCTTTTTCAGACTGGGTCCAGAAGTACAGACTTTTAACAGGACTAGCAAACCTGTGGTGTTATCTCCCTTTCCAGTAGACAAGCAAGATAAATTTACTTCATATCATAAAGAAAAATTGTCCTGTTGATTGCTGTTGGCCTCTTATTTTGATCCAGAAGAGGCAAATTTGTGAATTATTTAGTACTGTTTAATCAGTACTGTTTGAGGGCACTAGTAGTCATAGTTATGAGTAATGCCAGAATGCAGCTCTGATCCAATTTAGTCCTGCTTTTGATAAATCAGGATAAATTGGTATGAACTTATTGAAATGGGGAATTTCAATCATTATTTGTGTGAGAACTGTTTTCCTGTGCTAATTGTGGTTTGTTCTTTCCTTAGGTTATGGGCATGACATGTGCCCATGTATTTTAATTAAAGTATACATTTTCAGAAACTTTCGTTTAAAAAAGGGGAATCCCGGGACTTGGAAGTACCAAAAAAAAAAAAAAAAAAAAAAAGATAAGACTTCCATGATTTTAGATGGTAGTGAAACATCACAGTGTTTATAGTGTGTATTTTATGAAAACGTCCCAGGAGAAATCCAAGACTATATAACCTATTACCTCTAGTGCTGTCATGAAGTTTTTAGTTTTTATATTTTGCATCTCTCTTCTACAATAATGTTTTTTTTTAAATCAGAAGTTGTGATGATCCAGTGTGTAGCATCCCTGAAAATCAGATTACCTAGTTAGGTCATGGAAAAGCGTGAAAAGTAAAATATTCTGCTTCTCATAAGGGTGAAAATTGAAATTGTAAATGCTGTGTACAGGTGCTGAAATTGATAAATATATTTTCTATGTGTATATGACTAAATAACTTATCGTTATCCAAAACAATGGAATACACGATTTCATTTTAACAGGAAATAGTATCTTGCTTCTCCCCTGTTTTGCTTAAGGAGAAACACTTTTTAATAAAAAATATGTCAAGGTACCCAGACAGACAAATTTTAAATCATAAATCCAATTTTAATTAATAGTTCACTTCCTGTTGGGTTAATTTAAGCAGTGCATGAACATTACAGTGAAAACAAGTGGTTCCGGTGCTACTTGTTTCTGTCTGTATCTGCTGACTTGCTGCTGCTCTGAGTGTTCTTCATTCCAACTCCACATCAGCTTACAAGTACTAGTAAATACTTGAAGGTTAGGCCTAATTAGGCCTGGTTGGCACTGATTCGAAACGATCATGCTTGCAAAGGCATATCCTCTCCAGTATCAGTTACTCAAGGTTGCAAGCTCATTAGCTGCTCTTAACAGGATTTTCTCTTGTGACAATGAACTAGATGGTTTTAATTAGCATCAGATAATGATTTTAAACTCTAGTGGACTCTCTGAAGCCTTAGTTACTGCCCAAGATAACCTAATAGAAATACGTAATGGCATTTGTAACTGCATATATAAGGACAGAGTAAAATAAAAGCTGGAAAACTGACATAGTCCTTTGTAATTTAGAGATTATTGAGGAGATTAAAGTACTGGTTAAAATCTGGCACAGACAGATATTTTCGACCGAGGCAGTTATAGGCAGCAGAAAAAGTAAGTTGTAGCACAGTCATCAGAAAAGTGACTATCAAAAAACTGTATAAGAAAGTATGGCAACATGAATCTACTTGAATATTTTAACTAGGTGCTTTAATTCCATATGCCAGTTGCTTTAACCAAGTATCTTCCACCGATTTGTTTGCATTTCTGAGACAGTGTCTGTGACTTCTCTTTAAATTCCATAAAGTATTTAGTAAAAAAACAACTTGGTGTAACTGAAAGTATTTTTTCTTACAGACTGCAGTTAAAGAAATACCACTTTAAAGTAGGCATTAGCTAAGGTTGTGCTAAAGATGCCATTATTTTCCCAGCAGGGATAGAGCTTAAATAAATTCTCCTGTCGCAGTACATCTATAAAGTTGGTTGAAATCAAATTCTGGGATAGCCTAGTGTAAGATGGAGAGGGCAGAGAGGACTGGAGGACTGAAAACTATTTTATTCACCTAATTTACTTGACACAGTGGACTTATTTTCCCCACTGTGCGTGTTACTTGCTGCTGTTCCATTTCTTTCTGTGTGTGCTGTGTGCTACCAGCATGAAGACTGAGGGCACAGCCTGTATTCGAAAGACACTGAAACAAAATAATTTCCAGTGTATCTGTGTCTGAAAAAGGAAGAACCTTTACATGCCTTCGTTATTTAATTCCTAAAATTGTTACAAGGATTTTCATACAGGTAGCACTACTACTTTTTATTGGCAAGAAGAAGGTGAAAGTGCTTGCACAGCAGGGAAGTGACTGTGCCCGTGCTCCCTGGGAAGCAAGGGCGCTTCAGGAATTTTAGGACCTTTGTTTTAAAACTGCCATGCCGAGATCAAACTGTTTCCCTGCCTGTGCTCTGAAGCCACCATCTTTTGTAAGTCCCGCTTTATGCGACAGAAGTCAGGAGTACAGTCCACAGCAGAAAAAGTGGAGAATGTACCTGGTTGCTGTGCATTTGTGAGTGGAACCAAGGACAAAATGGGATCAGGGGATTGCAGAATAGCTGGAGTGCTTTAGGGGAAAAAAAGAAAGAGTGATTTGAGACAATATGTCTTGTATGTAAAGTATTACCATTGGGTTGTAGACTCTAGAGTGGATGTAGAGACCTCTGCATGAAGGGACACCAGCTGACACTGGACATTTTTTATATAAATGTATCTTACAGTTCCTGTGGAATGTGTGGGGGCGAAAAGGTACTAATAATCAAATACTACCAGAGAATTCTTTTTCTGATGAGGCTTGTTAAATGCTTAAGGAAGGATCGTTATTAACGGCACTAGTAGGAGGTACTTGCCACTTTTTGCAGGAAGTGCATGGAGTTTGTTAGTTTGTGTTACCACCTTCGAGGTCATTGTCAAAGAAGTCCCTTTAGCCTCACTACTGGCACAGCTTTTCCCGTCTGCTTTGTGAAAATCGAAAGGTCATCTTGGCATATCATTCCTCCAGCATTTTTCCTCATCTTCTCCTTGAGGTTTTCAGTGCCTATAACAAATTGCCTCCTAATAGGCTTCCATTCTGTGAGTGCTGCTCGCTTTTGCCATTGGAATTGTTTTGTTTAAAGCAATCAGCAACTTTAAAGCTAGTTTTTATTTTCCATTTCTAAAATGCTTTGGGATTCTAGGCTTTCAGGGTATATAACCTGTTACAAGACCTGTTTGTAGTATATACCATAGTACTAGCTATCTAATAAATTGCAACCAGGATTACTGGAAAGGATTGTTGTTTAAGGATCTCGGATGCTATAGCATATTCTCCATGTTTTCTGCAGTGCCTATATTGGCAAGCATCAGTTGTGCAAGCTTTTGTTGACATAAATTTTCTTCCTGTAAGTGCATGTACAGCCCTAACCCATTTCACTGTAGCATCCAAAATAGCAAGTATAGTGTCATTTACAAGCACCTCTTCTAGAGGGAAGGACTTAAGAGAGGAAAAAACACTGACAGAAAACTGAAAAATAAGCAAAAAATACCTAGTTACCCACCATAATTCCCGAGGTGTTTCTGCTTTAACCTTATCAATTTATATCATTTTTTTTCGTGTCAATTGTATGCTTAAAGTTTGTCCAAGATGATAAAGTTGAAGTGGATTTGGTTATCTTAGGTGCTGTCACAAAAGATTTTTTTTTTAAATCCTGGATTTCTGTACTGCATTTGATTAAAAATGCCTTGCAAGTATGCTGACAATGTACAAAATACGATTATCTTACTGCTTCTCTAATTTTCACTATGCCTTCCCCACATCTGCTTTTTCCTTGTCAGCTACAGTAGGTAAAGTCTGCCTACATAGATTGCACCTTTTATTGCAACAGTGGAATAGTCAGAACAAGCTTAAGGGCGGGAACAAACAGGGGACCTGGGTCTACAGACATTGGTGTATTGGTGCTAGAGGTACTGAATTAAGAAGTCACCAGAAGCAGTTTCTGTGTTTGAAGAGCAGATGCAAGGGAGATGACATTTTAATAGCAATAAAGCCCCCAGGGATTTCACTTTAAAGAATTAACGGAGATTTAAAAAATATTTAGAGACACATAAAATATACATAAACAAACCCTTATTCATAGAAAAAGATAATAATATGGTGATTGTGAAATTTGTTGTAATGGTTGTGAGTTAAAGATTCTTCCCCAATTATTGCTTAGGTGAAAACAGGGTGAAATGTATGGGTGATGAGCAGGCAGAAGCTTAGGGGGGAGGATTAAAGGGTAGGCTGTTGTTGGTGACACTGTTGTGGGCATTTGCTCCAGGCCAGCTGATCTGCATGAGGAAGTTGATGAGGCCTAGAGACTGCTGGAAGCCACAGGCCCTTGTTCACATGGAGAGCTTCAACCACCCTGTTACCTGCTGGAAAGACAACACTACTAGGCACAAACAATCCCAGAGGTTCCTGTAGGGCACAGGTGATAACTTTTTAACACAGAGGAGGCACCAAGGAGA